AAATCCCTTCACAGTTAATTCACTCGCTCCGATAGCATCTGGTAAATAAGTATCCAGGAAGTATAACTCCCCACCATCAACTTGCTTCTATGCAACTCTTGGAAGAATGAAGAATACAGCCAAAAATGGAACAACCGTAATGCAAAATTCGTCAAATCTGAACACAAAATGCTTGGAGTTTCTTAAAAAATGAATAAAAATTGTACGAAAAAGGAAAGAAAGTCAAAACTCCTTCTGCATTCATTCTTACAAAAAAGCAGAAGCATCCACGAAAAAGCCCAAGAGAAGCAAATGCCAACAACAACAACCGGAGCTACTAGCGGGGAGGATCCAGGGTTCTGTCTCCCACCATACACTGTAAAACAGAAGATGCAAAAATTTCTTCAATTAACTAACCCTTAGCGCCTAATAAACGCAACAGAATTCTTTCATATTGTCGTTGTGCTAGTGAGACGGGTAAATTGCCAACAAAAACAGCATGATCATGTGGATCATCTTTTTCCTGGACGTAAAAACGAACAACATGGTAGCGTCGCAGGGAATCCTGAAATAACGAAGAATGTGCATAATGGATGAGATGCTAATAGCACATGCGAGCGACCGGGCTACTTCCGAGTGTTTTCACCTCTCATCAGAAGTGAAATACAAAACAAATTTTGGCTTGTGTACCGATTCCTGCATCGATGAATCTAGAGATGTTTCATATGTTATACGAATAGTATCAGAGATCACAAAAATACTGGTGCATGTAAGACTAACCTCTCTCCATTCCAAGATCCCGCTCCAGTGACTTCTGACAAGCTTTTGACATTTTTGAATAGAAAAACTTAAAAATTATAAACCCATGGTACCAGAGAATACAAAGCACTAGGCTTATGAGTTCAACCACCTTTCCCGTCCCTCTCCAGGCCAGATGTATTTCCATATTTTCCTCTTCACTAGCGCACTCATGCTAAGGTTTACCAACCACTGTCGAACTGTTGCACAAGTTCGGAACAAAAAAAAGGCTCAAAGAACGAAATACAAACAAAAAAAAACCCACAAACACTCATGCGGTTTCCACGAAAGAATGTTGAAACTTAAGTCAATATCTCAGAATTTTACCTTTCTCAAATTTCGCACAAGTTGTAGCATATTTTCATGCGGATTCGCTGTTCGTTCAGCAACACCACGATCTAACGAAACCTCAATTAAATTATAGCGATTAGCCGAACTCCGATCCAATCCAAAACGATCCAGAGCTTCAGCAATCGCATCTTGTACCAGTGTTTCTTTGGTTACCGTCAACGAGCAAAATGTTACCGGCACACTAGAAAAGAAGAATTATTTCTATCTAATGACGATTTACATTACTTCTACATATGAATAGCTGTTAATCCATGGTTTGGCTATTCAACAATGCTGCGGGAAACTTTTCCAGTTGCTCTGACCATTGCTGCTTCTCGTAGTGGTCAACCTGCTGGCAGACCTGGTATTTATTTTTTTTTTGTCTTCTGAAGGAATTATTAGTTTGAAAAATGCAGCTCCAAAGCAATCTTCATGTGTTTTAAGCATCCCCACCTTGCTCCGGAAAGCTCCAATTCTTAGAAGGTATGTACCTTGAAAATTTATATTGAAGATAATAATGAAAATAGAAAGCTGTGCCACTTAATAGAAATTTTATACAAGAAAATTTAAAAATGCTTGTCCGCGAAAGAAACGTGTTTCCGCGATACTGTTGGCTTTCCCCCTATTTTTTAGCAATATTCAATAATTCGTTTCGTCCATTTTTTATCTTTATTATGAAATGACCAGCCAAGCTGTCTTCAATCAGCGCATTTTGCCTTAATAACACCCGTAATGCCAGATCGGAACATTAGTTCATTGAAAATGTGCTGCAACTTGCTGTGTCTATCATGCATCGTTACATGGTTTTTTAGTTCGCTGCTAACTTCTTAGAAAGCTTAATATTCGATACATAGACTTTTACATGAAAAATTTGGTAACATGGTGGAATTGAAAAAAGAATCGACAAAAATTTTACCGTAGCCACCCGCCATATAATTTAACAACCGCTTTCTCAGGATCATCTTTGTAGCGAAGAAAAATTTGTGCACGACGTCCTTCAGGCCTTCTCACATTTCGTAATGGCACCGGGTCTTCGAGCAGTTCCTCTTCTCCGCCTTAAACATTTTTGGAAACAAAATCATCAAAAAACACAAATTCAGGTAAACATGGTTCCAAAGAAGCTCGTTCATTTTTTTTCTCACTTTCTGCAGTATTCTTATTCAATGGTTTATGTCTGTAAAAGCATAAGCAAAGAGGAATAAGTGGCGTACTCAGGTCCAGTTAACAAAAGTAAAAACCGAAGCATTACTGCACAAAACTTGGTCAAAGAAACGCGAAAAATTCATCGAAAAAATTAAAATTCATGGAAAAACGAAAAACTGGATTCACCCCAAAAAGTTAGGTTCAGAGCAAGCAGAAACAAATTAGCCAACGTCTAAATTGTAATTTAAATGAAATCATTCAGATCTATGTTAAGTTAAACTCCTGAATTTTTGAAAGGTACAGTCCATGCAAACAGTCAACATGATAGACAAATCCACTTGATTCTTCTTTCGCGCCTCATAATTCAACTCGTACAGAAGATACCCACAGTGGTAACCCAAGCAGTCTTGTTGTTCTTGGTATTTTGCATTTAACAAAAAAAAAAACCGGACGAAAAACCTACTATCATTGAGTACTTGAGTGGGATAATAGCAATCCGGGTTATCACTTATGTGAAATCGCCTCAGTGCTACATCCTGAAACAAAATTTCTTCATTAAAGAACTCTCAAACATGCACGGTACGCTTTCGAAATGAAATTAGTGTGAAAACATCTTGCGTTTTACACGCAATATTTCCAGTGCATAGCATCCCCCGATTTTTGGATTTATAACATCAGCCTGTACCGGACAACACAAATAAAAAATAAAGCGGAGTTTAAGTGCCGGTTTTTGCTGCTAGCTGCGATATCGGTTTAATAACCCAAATTTGAGCGCTGCCAGCAGGCTGACTGCTCGCAATAAAGCACTGGTCAAAACAAATATGAAAGCACAACGCTGCGTGGTCCAAACGACCACGAAAGCATAGAAGGAAAACCGTGCTGTGCATAACGGCTGTTCTTAGCATTCCTATCTCACTGGTCATCTCCCACAGTAACTTCGCCTAGTCTAAATAAATAAGGTGAATTTTCAGAATGTCTCTACCTCTTTTAGCGACTTTGAGTTTCTAAAATACCTCAGTCTCAGTCTCTTTTAACGGCTAAAACAAGTCCGCACGAAATCCCAATCTTTTTTAGCGATTAGGAATGAGTCTCTAGAGTAGCTCCCTCGAATAGTAAAATGGTTTCCACTTACTCGAATCTGTTGTACGGAAGCTGTTTTCGGCAGCGTGGCAGTACGATAAACCTGCTTTCTGAGCGAGCTATTGCCATCATATATACGTAATGTTTCATAGTCCTCTTTCTCTTTTTCCTCATCTTGCGCATTCGGCACCGATTCATCGGACTGTGTTTTGAGTGGTGATGATACTACAAAAGAAAGA